TGGCAGCGGAGATAGATGTTCCCATGAGCGTCAGAGTGTTCGAGGAGTTGACTGCTACGAAGGCGGAGAGGGGAGGTCTGTTCTCCGTTAAGATGCGCCCGAGTTATAACGTGTTGACCGGCCAGCCCCGCAAGACGCCGAACTGGCAGCGTTCGTACTTCTATGTCAAAGCTGACAAGTATGCATTTGCGGAAGCCATTGAGGACGACTTTCCCGTCCTATGGGACAAAGAAATTGGTAGAGAACATGCACCGTGTTGTTTACCACGTTCATCGGTTTTCTAACCTTCTCTTTTTCTTTTGCAGTTCGTCATCCAAATACGATCGCGTACCCGGAGAATTTCTTCGAGATCGCACAAGCCATTGCAACTCAAAGTCATCTGAATTGGCCGGATCTGAGTCGTGAGTGGATTCGTCGACAACAAGCTCGCATAGAGAGAGGTAAAGGTTTCTTTTTTGTAAGTTCAACCTTAGGTCCCAGCTAATAGACTGACAGTCGTCTTTTTCTCTCTGTTTTCACAGTTGATTGGGAATCGAGGCAACCGTTGATAATCTCGGAACGAAAGTCTCGATTGTCCTTGTTTACCCGGAAACAGCAGAAACTGCTCAAGCAAGCGAGGGAAATGTCAGGAAGACCGGATTTAAGTGCTTTGCTTAAGGGGAAACTCCAGTTGCTGAAGAAGACGACTTCTAGGGTCATTCCGGCTGGCGATGACAACGTTGAAGTTACTCCACAAACCGATCCAATTCAAAACGTCCCGTCTGAAATCGATCCTCCGGCTCCTGAAGAGAAGAAGAAGAAGAAGAAGAAGCGGAAGAGCCCCGTGACGAAGGAAATAGGGTCGTCGGCTGAGGCTAATCCTTCCGAAGGGCGTGCTGGCAGTCTGGAGACAAGGGAGAGGGAGGGAGAACCGCGTGACGGTTCTGCTGATGGCGATCCTAAGGAGAAGGGTCCGGAGGGAGGTCCGAAGAAAAAGAGGAGAAAGATTGCTAAGGAGGCATCGAAATCTCTAAGTCCCAAACCTCTTTCGGTGGATACTCCGGGGGCGATCGACGCTGGTGGTGACGGGACTGAAACACGCAACCAATCGACCGAGCCTCTGCCAACTGATGTTCCTTCGAAGAGGAAGTCTCCTTCCCGAAGGAGCCTCTCAGAAGGTGACTCCAAGAGATCCCGG